TGTGCGTGCAAGCCTTTGCAGCGTTGGAGCGAACGTGGATACAGCCGGATGGTGAGATAGTATAACCTGGTGTGTGTGAGGTGAGCAGCATTGAACAGCTGGCCTATAATCAATACTGAAAGCAAGTAAGTTACTGGGATAGTGGTGCGCAGTTAGTATAGAGCAACACACAGGTGCAGCATGACCCATTGGCTGAACTAATGACGGCAGCTGTCACTCTTCTATTTCTCTCTCTCTCTCTTTCACTCTTTCTTTCTCTCTCTCTCCCACACTTCTCCCCCTCTCTCTCTCTCTCTCTCTCTCTCTCTCACACTTTCCCTCTCTCTCTCTCTCTTCTCTCTCTCTCTCTCTCTCTCTCTCTCTCTCTCCATACTCTTCCCCCCCCCCTCTCTCCTCTCTCTCTCTCTCTCTCTCACTACTCATACTCTTCTCTCTCTCTCTCTCCACTCACATCTCTTTCTCTCTCTCACTATCTTTTTCTCGTCTCTCTCTCTCTCTCTTCTCTCTCTCCTCTTTTTCTCCGCTCTCCTCTCTCTCTTTTCATTCCTCTTCTCATTTGCATCCTCTATTTCGCATCGACTTGCCCTCTCTGTTTCTCAGGCCGTGTTTACATTGTACTTTTTTCGTGTTTATAAAATAACTAAACTACATGCTCGCATGCAGAATTCGTGGACCCCTCTGATCGCTGCCACGAAGGGAAACTACGTGAATGTAGTCAAGTTCTGCTGGAGTATTTCACCCAACGTAAACGCCGTAGACAAGGTGAGAGTGCGTGAGCGCGAGTCGCTCGCGACACACAGCATATATATATATATATCCTACTATGCCTATGCTATGTATAGCGGTAGAGGGATGTTAGATGACATATGTGTGACCGAGGTGTGTACGTGTGAGGCTTGATTAATTCATCGGAACTATTCGTTTTATTCAGCTGCTATCAGTCGGATCAACCAAGCTTTGCTTGGATAACAAACAAAAAAAACCGGTCAAGAAACGAATGTCTTAAAAATTAATCACATTGCTATTAGGGGGTGGTGCTGGGTAGGTAGAGTGCTGCATCATCAGGTACGACGCTCGCATGCATATCATGCCACAACATTGCAGTAGGCAGGTCGAGGCAGCACCAGGATCTACTACAATCCCTGACTGTGTAGATAACAGTGTTTGTGTTTCACAGGATGGTCACACTGCCCTGTTCATCACTGCTAAGGAGGGCTACACCGCAGTGGCTGCTGCTCTCACCGGTGCGAGTGCTTACATCAACGTGCCCTGCACAGGTAGGCTACTACTACACAGCCCTCATCCAACGATGCTGCTTACTATTGCCATTCACTCTCTCTCTCCCCTCTCTCTCTCCCTCTCTAGCTGTCTCTAGCTCTCTCTCTCTCTCTCTCTCTCTCTCTCTCTCTCTCTCTCTCTCTCTCTCTCTCTAGCTCTCTCTCTCTCTCCCTCTCCCTCTCCCCCCCTCTCTCTGCCTCTGTAGCTGTCTCTCTCTCCTCTCTGCCTACCTGTCTATATATATATATATATATATATATATCCCTCCCCCTCCTGTTTCCTCTCTCAGCCCAGCATGTGTGATCTATGCTGATAGGGAGACTTACACTGTACCCTGCAGTCTGTGAACACTGCGCACCCGCATCACGAAGGTCACGGCGCCTGTCTAGTCAGGTAGCTGCTGATAACGTCATCATAGTATCGTCAGGCGAGGTAATATTGACAGATGTCGCACCATGTTGCTGTGGCGTGGTAGGTGCCACCCAGATTATATACGTATATGACAGATGCCTGTAATATTGTTTGCTGCAGCGTATTATTCTTAGTAAACGCTTAAGTAAGATAAGTTCATATAGGATATGTCAATGCTAGTTAACATTTACATTGCCGATTTCCTTAAATAAAAAGAAATCGTTTTTTAGTGACCCTGCATATCAATTATATATCACACCAGCCAAACGTCTACAGCAGTCATGATCTGCTATGCATCGCCCAGTGCCTTCGCATGCCACACAAAAATACGCACACACCACCCATATACGTACCAATCAATAATTCAATAATATCTAATACAATTTCCACCAAAACAACACCAAACACCAAAATAACAAAGAAGTGAAACGAATGAAGCACGAAGCTGGGGTGTGAAAGCAGTGATTCTGCCCATCATCATCGTTTTCATGGCTTACAGAACTGAGACACGGTGCTCATCGTCGGCAGCTAAGAGCAGCGTCACTTATGACATCTCATCAAGCGCTGCTGCTCGCTTATGCCGACGTACACTTGTCGCGGTTAACCGGCGTAAGACGTGCGTGTTCCACGCCGTCACAGAAGCGCATGTCGGACATCGTAGCGGCCTGTTCGCCTGAAAGCCAACCCTGACACCACCCACCGACTCGGGTCATGCTGTGCATGTACAGATGACGTGTGCTGTGACGAATGACGCCGTGTGTGACGATGACCGGTGTGTGACGATACGCGTGCTGTGACGATGACGGTGTGTGACGATACGCGCGCCCCAAAACGTCGTGTGACCGATACGCGTTTGACGATGACGCGTGGTGACGATGACGCCGTGCTGTTTACGATTGACGCTGATGTGACGATGACGCGTGTGACGGATGACGGCTGTGTAACGATGACCCGTGTCTGTGTGACCCTGTGTGTACTCCTCGGGAATGCGGTGTGCACACCATGTAACACTTGTGTAGTGTATGTGCGCGGTGTTGCGTGCGTACGTCGTGCGTGTGTGTGTGTGTGTGACGCGCTGGGGATATGCGTGTGTGACACACCATTAAGCTTGGTATGCTTGTGCGTCGTGTGCCACGGTGTCTGTGCGTGTGTGTGCGTGTTGTGCGTGGTGCGTGCGTGTGTATGCGTGCGCGGACGCGCAACCCTGTGTTGTGACACCCATTAAGCGCTTTGTGTATGTATGTGTGTGGGGCATGGCTGTCGTGCGTGCTGCTGCGTTGCGTGCGTGTTATGTGGCGTGTGTGTATGTGTAGTATAGGTGTGTCTCCTGTATGTAGATATGCCTATAACTCTTGTGCGTCATTGATGGATGTTCCAGGATGGGAGACGCCGGTTGCTGAGGGCTGTCAGACAATCGCTAACTATCGACATCGATCAAGATGCTCCTAGAGAGACATGCTAAGGTGTGGCTCCTGTACACCTAAGCGTTGTAGCGCTCTGCGGGCGCGCGCGCCTGCTCCTCACACGGAGCTTTCTGCGTCTGTCTGCCCGGCTTGCTCTTAGCACACACTCACTCAGCCAGCCGCCTCACCAATCTCATTGGCCACCTCGTTTATCGCTTCCGTTCCTTGCTTTCCGCAACTGCACTTATTATTGTGACTGCAAAAGTTTATAGGATGATAAATCCTTTTGCCTGGCATGTCTGGCCTGCATTCTGCTGGTGCGTGCGATGGATACAGTTTACTGGTGTGTGTATGTATATAGAAGAGGGAAGGAGACACAGCTTCACTGCTGTGTATGTAATATAGAGAGCAGCATACACTTACTGTAGTTGCTGTTGTTATAGAGAGAGACACAGCCTTACTGATGTGTGTGATGTATAATAGAGAGGGACACAGCTTACTGTGTTATGTACTATAGAGATGGAGACACAGCTTACTGTGTGTATCGTAATAGAGAGAGGCAGCACAGCTTACTTGTGTGATTATGATATAAGAGAGGCGGAACACAGATATTACTGTGTGTGTGATATAGACGAGGAGATTACAGGCTGTGTGTGGTGTATGTAATAAGAGAGGAGAAACAGCACTTACTGTGTGTAGGTATATAAAGAGAGGAACACAGCTACGTGTGTATGTATATAGAGAGCAGACACGCTATTACTGTGTGCTGTGTATATAGAGAGGAAACAGCTTACTGTGATAGTATATAGAGAGCAGACACACTTTCCTGTGTTAATGTATATAGAGAGCGAGACACAGCTACTGTGGTATGTATATAGAGCAGGAGACACAGCTTACTGTGTGTATGATATATAGAGAGCGCATGACACAGCCTTACTGAGTGTATGTATATAGAAGGAACACAGCTTACTGCTTGTGTGTCATCTATATAAGAGAGCAGACACAGCTTACTTGTGTATGTATATAGAGAGGAGACACAGCTTACTCGTGTGTATGTATAATAGAGGAGGAAGACACAGCCTACTGCCCACTGTGTATGCTATATAGAGAGCGAGACACAGCTTACAGTGTGTGATGTATATAGAGAGGATACACAGCTTACTGTGTGTGTTGTATATAAGATAGGAGACACACTTACGGTGTTGTAATATAGAGAGAACACAGCGTACTGTGTGTGTATATATAGAGAGAGACACAGTTCACCTGCTGTTGTAGTATTATAGAGCAGCGCAGACACAGCTTACTGTGTGATATGTATATCAGAGAGACGAGACACAGCTTACCTGTGCTTGTGTCTATGATATAAGAGAGGAGCAACAACAGCTTACTGTGTGTATGTATATAGAGAGGAGAGCACAGCTTACTGCTGTGTATCCTATATAGAGAGGCTGACACAGCGTACTGTGTGTATCTATATAGCAGACGGTACACACTTACTGTGGATTAATCATAGATAGGAGACACAACTTACTGTGTTATCTATATAGAGAGAGACACAGCCTTACTGTGTGGCATGTATCTATAATAGAGAGGTGACACAGCTTACTGCTGTGTATTCTTATAGGAACGGTACCACACTTTACTGTGTGGTATCATTATAGAAGGAGACACAGCTTACTGGTGTGTATGTATATAGGAGGAGACACACTTACTGTGGTATCTATATAAGAGAGCATGCACACAGCCTTCACTGTGTGGTGTATTATAGAGACGAGCACAGCTTACTGTGTCAGTGTGTATGTCATATAGAGAGCGAACACAGTTACTTGTTGTTTTGTACATGTATATAGAGAGGCAGACACAGTCTTACTGTGTGTACTGTATATATGAGAGGAGGACCACAGCTTA